TTGTGGTTTGGGTCGAGAACACCCCCCAGCGTTGTGCGTTTCGTTCAACTCACTTTTGCCATACACACTATACGTCATGCCTGTCCCAGAAACAGAATACAACTGAGTAAATGGAACTTGTGCTTGGGCACTCCCAACCCACAGACTTAGACTTAACAGTATGATCAACCATGTAAAAATATTTACAAACCAATTTGGCTGACAAACACCACCCGTCAGGAACCTCAGAGTAACAATGTTATTCTTTTCTTTTAATAAATTGGTGTTATTTTTCATTTTAGTTTTGTCCACAATTAACAAAATAAGAATTGTATTTTTAACATATGATGCCAGTCACACTTTAAAATCAACGGCCGCCAAACAGATTTTCATCAAATTTCATGCGAATGCGTAAGTACACACCTTGCTGCGTATACTCGGAATTGGTCATATCATCAGCAGAAAATCCCCGAAAGTTATAACCCAACGAAAGCCACGTATTGGTCGCCATTCTGTATCCAACTTCCGCACCGACGGCATAATACGTACTTTTATCTTGGGAAGTTAACCCCTTCATGACTGCTCCTAATACACCAATATCGAAGCGCTCATCAATGTCATATATTGAACGACCGCTCAGTAGGATGGCCGACCAATCAGAGTAATTTTTTCCTGCAAATCTATTTCGTTGCCACTTAAAAGCAAGTCGTCCTGTGCTCCACCAATTGTAGGTTGGTTGATAATCGGCCACACCGGCCAAAATATGTTTTTGGTACCCTAACTGCGTAAAATCAGTTGCCACATTACCGTGCTCATTACGCAGCCAATACTCGTATTTAACTAAAGCATTGACGCGATTATAATCATCATCACGATATGCCAACCCGAACTGAAAACGGTTTTCCGTTGTGTTTTTGTGTTTATTTGAACGCTCTCTCGTAAAAAGCAAATAATTACGTCCCAAGATCGTCCAGCTTTGATTGAGTTTTTTCGCAATAGTCAGAGTGTTAAGGACAGAGTCACTACCGGCAATCCTCGGGATAATATTTTCAACAGGCTTACCATTTTGCCAAGTTGTCAGAGTATGCTCACGACTACCATAATTGCGTCGCAGCTCCAAAAGTGAATTCACAGTCCAGAAATCGTTTGGACGCCAGCTAAAACCTCCTGACAGACTCGTTGCCGCCTGCCCAGAACCGTTCATCACAACCAAGTGCTCTGCTGCTCCTGTGACAATCCATCGATCGTTGACATTCCATGTATTCTTAATTCCATTAGCCCATTGCGTATTGCGTTCACCCAAATTAGCGTGATTAAAGCGATACTCACTAAAAACGTTTGTACCTGCAACGGGTGTTGCATCAATACCAGCAATGAAGGCGCTGCTACGATAACTATTCGATCCATTTTTTATACCTGAACCTAATGAATTTAAGCCTGTGTTCCATTCATAGCGGCCATAAGCACGTGTACTATTATTTAAAGAATAGTCGGCATCAATAGCATAACGTTGGTAATGCTGACTACCAAAAGCATGTTCATATTCCGCACCAGCTCTCGCCTTTTCTGAAATTCGATATCGAACGGCGACTCTTGGTGCTGTATAAGAAACTGGCACACCAATGACTGTACTTGGCCAGCCATAGGTAGTCGTATTTGCATTTAATCCACTCAAACCTCGCCATGGCGCATCTGTCGTCAGACCGTAGGACGATGAGCCATTGCCTGACTTTTCTTTAACATGCCTAATACCCAAGCTGAACTCGAGATCTGGATTTATTTTCCAATCAACACCACCATAGATATTGTTTCGTGAAGCGCCATTGAATTTATCTTTACTATAGGTATCCTGAGCTCGGACAGCGACGACATCATTGACACGATACTCAACCTTGGCATCGATTTCTCTCCGACCTCCTCTTAATGAAGCATTGGGATTATCGAAACTTCGTTGACTATCACCAAAAAATACACGGGCACGCCAATCATCGCTTTGATGATTGAGTTCAAAGCGATACGCATTTCCCGCACCATTGAGACTAAAACGTTCTTCGCTACTGCCAACAGTCTGTCCTTGGATACTAACCTGTGATGCTCCACGGCTTCTTGCCACCTCAAAAACACCTGCTGTATGACTGCTCAATGTAAAATTGACATTAGCACTTGCTAGTTGATAATCGATAGCGCGTAATGGATTTTTATCCCGAGCATAACTTACACCACCACCTACTGCCCCGTATTTACCCTGAATATCTGCACCATATACCCAAAATTTCTCTCCGCCTTGTACGATTTCATACGTAACACGAATCGAGATAGGGTTGAGCTGAGCATCCAAACTTGGTACTGCGCTTTTAAATAACAAACGTCCACTAAAAGGTTCGAAAACGTAATCTAATGTGCGTAACTTTGGAGTCACGCTCAAAATAACAGAAGGCTGATTTCGATCACGCACAATAATCTCAACTTTTTCAGTACCTTGAATAGCTTCCCTTGAGTTTTTAACACCATAAGGGCCACTTAGACCTAGTGCAGGAAACTCATCAACTACTTGGCGTAGGTTATCACGTGCAGCATAAATATTGGCAACAACATCCTCAGTTTCGTAATGTGCACGCCCTCCCGTTAATGAACGACTATAACTTCCTAACTCTCGCAAATTAAGATTGGCAACAGCTCCAGTACCCTTGAGTTGACTAAAATCAGCAGCGGTATTGTAGTCACCGTATAGCAAAAAGCTTTTTTCATGGTCTAATCTCACATACAGTGGTGAGTCTGAACGCGCATCTTGAGTAATAACACTGGCATCACCGTAGACGGGATACCACTTGTTTTCATCAATACTGCCAAAGGTTTTAGGGTCTCTAGGTTTATCACTATCATAAGATAGCGTCAATAAATCACTACCAAGAACTTTTCCTTTGAGAAACAATGCCGCCCTTGCACCATACTGAGTTTTATGATTTCCACCACTACGGCTCCAACGCTTGATTTCCTGTTCAAAACCATCGGAAGCTTGCGCTTGGCTCAAATGGATACCTTTACCGCGACCTCTGTTAAAAGACACGATACCTTCCACCAATCCAGCAACAATCATAGGCCTAACATTAGGTGCAAAATACAATTCTTTTTGCGCATCGGTTGCATCAGCCATGACTCTAACAAAGATGGTTCGTGGCTCTAGTGGCGCAATCAGATACACCAAACCTTTTCCATTGACAATTTTGATACCACGTTCACCACCCTCCAAACCAACAAGTTGAGAAACTTGATTGATTTCATTATGTTGTGTCATTTTCTCAAACTCTTTTGGCAAATAAATCATTTGACCGCTCGCCGCCACACGAACCCAAGCATCTCCTTCAACGAGTTTACCTTGAGAATCAAATAATTGGATTTCAACAGAAAGGGGGCTGACACCATCGGCTAACAACTTGTCAGATTTCGCTTCTAACAAAATCTTGGCAACTTGAAGTGATTTTCCTTTTAACTGAATATCGGATGGACTAAGTGAATCTTGACCAGCATTGGGGGCTTCATTTTGACTAGCCTGCCCAGACATGACACCTTGTGCCTGTGCTGACCCATGGATAAAAAATCCGAATATCAAAACAACAAATGTCATCAAGACTTCTACAACATAGAACTTCGAAACAAAGCTGTATTTATTTTTATCCATCTTACTCGTCTCATTATTTTATTTACTACTATGTCATTGAGTTATCAGTATGACATCGAATCAAATTGATAGCGTAGTACAACAGAATTTTTACGTGTACTGATGAATTGATTCTAGCAGGTTTATTCTATTTATCAAGTGTACTACACTGCATTTTGTTTAAAATTTTATGTTGACGACTTGAACACTATGATAGTTTTAGTATGAGGTGGTATGTATATGAATATCACATATTTGCATATATCTCGTATATCCAAACGATACAAATCACTCTTTATTGTTTTCGTGCTTTTGCGAGCATTACTCTCAGAAAAGTAATATTATGTAGGCATGTGTACGTTTTATCTTACTTGCGTAAACCACTATATAAAGGCAAAATCCTCATCTTCAATGATTTTTGACAATATTGTTGTATATTAGTGACACGCTCCTCTCGGAAAGCACTTGCTTTCGACAGGAGGATAAGCAATAGAGTTTTATTACACGCCTGAGAGTTAATTAAAAAACACTGATTCAAAACTCCAATAAGTACCTTGTCTCGGATCGATAAGTGTTTCCCGCTGGCAACACCACAGAATCGAAACTCGTATGATGAATCGCGTCATTAGGATGCTGAGTTTCCAAACAAAAGGCACTGCGGTAGCCGTAAGCTACTCCACTCTTACCCTTATCTTGTCCATCCGAAAAATTGCCTGAATAAAACTGTAGACCAGGCTCGGTCGTCATTATTGTCATGGTACGACCTGAAAGGGGCTCCTTAACTCGTGCCGCTATCGCTATGCTTCCTCCCTGATTTTCCCATATCTGAAGATGCACACCTTGATCACCACTATGTAACCAGTATTGTTGTGATGGCGGTAAGGTGTATTCTTGTCCCAAAATTGAGACTCTACCTGAGCTTAAGCGGTTAGCAACAGGCCCAACAATACAACCATGATAAGGTGTTTTTGCATGGAGGTATTGGTCAATCGATGAAAATCCTTGAACAATATCAACCCACTCACCATTGCTCGAAAGTTGATTTGGCACACACAAACTCACCAAACGGGCGCCATAATTTGTGACCATGGCTTTGCAGCCTTGACCATTTTCTAACAGCCATGCATTCGTTCTTTGTCCATGCACAACCGATTGAAAGTTCGTTAGATTAGGAAGCATGAAGCACCATGGGTTGATAAAGAATCATCCAATTTTACGTCATATCATGTGGCACTTGCTTTTCTGCCATCCCACATGATATACCTCGCTTTCTACGTGCCAAGACTCCCTTGGCTTGGCTCATAAATCAAAAAATCTGCGTTTCTCACAGAAGAATCAGCTATGCGAAGTCTTTCGAGGTTCTTTAGGCATAGCGATAAGCATCCGCATCAAAATGCTGCATCGAGCGATCAAAGGCTTTAGCACTGTGAGGCCAGAGAACACCTGTTTCACCGCTTTTTTCTAGATACCAACTTTGACATCCCCCCGCGACCCAAACACTATCTTTGAGGGCTTCGTGCAGCTCTTTAGTCTGCTCGTCCTGAACATGCCTCTTAACATCCATCACATGATAGTGATGTTTTCTCATATATTTTAATGCTTTAACAATATAACGCATTTGTGCCTCAGCCATATACACCACCGAATTATGACCAAGGCCTGCATTAGGTCCCAATAAAATAGCACAATTTGGAAACCCCGAAATGAACGTGCTTTGATAGCCTGCAATCCCCTCGCTGGCAAAACGATCAACGACGTTTTCATGTCCAACCCCATAAATCGGAAAGGGGGGCAAACCATCAGTTACTTTAAATCCCGTTCCATAAACAAGCACATCGGCTGGAATCTTTTTGCCAGATTCCGTCACGACACCATCTTCGACCACCTTAGCAATGGGCTCAGTTTCTAGGTGAACATTGGGCTTGGCCAAAGCAGGATACCAGTCATTTGAAATCAATATTCTTTTGCAACCAGGCGGATAATCCGGCGTCACTTTTTGGCGCAACTCGGGGTCGGAAATAGCTTTATGAATATTGTGCTTTGCCATCCTTTTGGTGAGCCAAGACACGACTGGGTTACCAGCATAAATCCCCAACCCATTAAATTCATTAATTAAAAAAATCGACAAGCGGGTTAATTTCATGCGCAAGGGTGACTTCCGAAAACTGGCGCGTTCATCATCGGTATAAGGACGATCATAACGCGGCACAATCCATGTGGGTGAACGCTGGAAGACGGTCATATCTTTGACTTCTTTAGCAAGCTCTGGCACAAATTGAATCGCACTAGCACCCGTACCGATCACAGCGACTCTTTTATCTTTAAAATTAATATCGTGATCCCATTTTGCGGAATGAATTTTTGCACCCTTAAACGTATCTAAACCTGGAATATTCGGATAAGAAGGGACATGTAAAGGACCTGCTCCCACCACAACAAAATCAGCTTCAATCACACGACCTGTCGTTGTACTCAAACGCCATTGATGTGTTTTCTCATCAAATTCACCGCCGTTAAACTCAACACCAAATTGAATTTTTTTCATCCAACCGTATTTTTGAGCACAAAACCGCAAATACTCCCAAATTTGTTCACCACGTGAATAGACATGTTTCCACTCTGGATAGAGCTCAAAAGAAAAAGAATACAACATCGAAGGAACATCACATGCCACACCTGGATAGGTGTTTTCACGCCAACAACCTCCAACATCATTGGCCTTTTCGTAAATGGTGTAATCCGTAAACCCTGCTTTATCAAGGTAATAAGCCATACCCAACCCAGAAAAACCACTACCAATGATCGCTATCTTCATGCAAACTCCTACCAAAACAACAAGACAATCAATTTACCATTTAATCAAAATATTGCAAACTAAATACCTTTAAAAGGATGTTGCAATAAGATCGTTTGGTTACGTTCAGGCCCCGTAGAGACGATACTAATCGGAACACCAGCGAGCAACTCAATACGTTTGAGGTACTGTTGCGCGGCTAAAGGAAGCTGATCCCACTGATGAATGCCAAAAGTTTCTGATTGCCAACCAGGCCATGTTTCATAGATAGGCTCACAACGTGCCGCTTCATGAGCTCCATGTGGGAATAAATCGATTTCTTTACCATCTAACATATACCCCACACACAATTTAATTTCTGCCAATGTATCAAGCACATCAAGCTTCGTTATACACAAACCACTAAGACCATTCATTTGTACCGCACGGCGTAAAAGCGCCACATCCATCCACCCTGTTCGTCTTGGGCGTCCCGTTACTGAACCAAACTCTTGACCACGATCAGCCAAAATCATCCCAATCGGATCTTGCTTGGCAGGGTTATTGGCGTCATACAATTCACTCGGGAAAGGGCCACTCCCTACTCTTGTGGTGTAGGCTTTAACTAGACCAAGCACGTAGTGAATACGATCCGACCCAATGCCCAAGCCGACAGAAACATTTCCAGCCACACAGTTACTCGACGTGAACCGAGGGAAAAGACGACAAACCCAACGCCTGCCTTTGCGCTTGATACCGCTCACACAAAACAACAATTTTCTCTGCCAAATCAGATGCTTTAGCCGATCTTATGCTCTCCAGATCGCAGCAAAACCATTCGTCGACACGAGTTATCCAAGGCAGAATCACCCCTTCCAAATCCTTATCGTTCATAGCACCAAAAACAGCTAACAGTTGATGGGTATAGCCCATGTGTTCAATGTTTTTGCGTAATTGACGGCTCGCGTGTGGGTTATGCCCCACATCCAGAATCACGGTAGGTTTACCTGCAAACACTTGAAATCGACCCGGTAAATTCACTTGCGCTAAACCTTGTCGAATATTTTGTACTCGAATAGGCAAAGTCGCTTTCATCTGTAACAAAGCGGCTATCGCCGTTGCTGCATTATCGAGCTGATGATGCCCTCGCAAAGCAGGGTGTGCCAAA